AACCTTGTAGCAAAAACATACCAGGCACAATCAAAGCAAATTCCCCAGGAAGTAAGAAGCTCATAGGTGCCCAAGAGGATGGACTCATCTCTGTCCCCTCCCCAGCATGGTGGGCCTCCAACAAACAACTCCACACCAGCTGCCCAGGCCAAGTTTCAACTTTTAGCATAATGTTCATAATGTTCATACTTCTCCATAATCTTTGGCCTTGAGTCATTTTTACAACAGTAGGAAAGAAAACAGTTGCCATCCATGGGTGACTGCCTCTACCAATTAAGAGGCTTTAGTGACAATGTTCGTCAGAAGCAATGACAGTGAAAATAACACAGTAAACATCCGTATTTCATAATCCCAGAATCGTCTGGCTTGCCGAGGACTGCAGTGCAGTGCTCCGCTCTGGCAGGGGGATACGTAGCTTTCTGACAATAAATCCCTCACAAAGTAGGTGCTATGCTTGCCCCTGGGGTGACAGTGGTACTCTCCAGGAGGTGGAGGGCACATGCAGAATTTACACTGTGGTACAAAAAGTGCTCCAAGCACCAACTGCTGCAAGGAAGTACAAAGTCCTCTGAGTGGAGAGAATGGAACCCAGCCTGGAAGGGCAAGGAGGGTGTATAATAGTGTGGTGATAGAATGGCAGCAGACTGGTGTGCAGAAGAGTGCCACTGCAGGCTGGGACATGGAGGGTAGGCTGGATGCTTGGTGCGTAGTCCACAAACAAAGGTTTCATGAGGTAGAGTGGAAGAAGACCAAAGAGCTTCATGATGTGCCTAGGTGCTCATCTGCAGGGCCCTATTGCAGGACTTTAGGTAGGGGAACATATTGGTAGGAAATCCCTGGGAGGTATAAACAGTTAACATGCTCAGCTACTAACTGAAAAGCTGGAGATTGAAGTCCACCCTGAGGCACCTTGAAAGAAAGTCTTGGTAATCTATTCTGAAAATCAGCCAGTCATTGAAAACTCTATAGGGCACAGTTCTGTTCTGATGCACACGGGAGCATCATGAATTAGAGACAACTCAAAAGCAACTGGATACTGATTAGTATATTGATCAGAGTGCCAGAAGGATCACTGAGGCCAAGGTAAAGAAACTGGGTAGGGCTTAGCTGGGCGGCTGTGGAAGAGACAGTCTCAGTAACTTAGTGGGCAGAGGGCAGAGTGGAAGAGGGAAGACCCAAGGAGGGCAGACTGCAGAAACATTTAGGACAGGAAGGACTCAGTGTCCAATTGGAGAAGGAAGAATCCAAATGACACCCAAGTTCTTGACATGGGAGCTAAGGAAACAAGACTGCTACCCACCCAGAAAGGGCCTGAAGGAAAACAACATGAGGAGACAGAGAAGACCACCACAGATACTAAAACACCCATGTGTGGTTTAGATATGAATAAAACACATGAGCCTACAGCTTAAAAGGAGGTCTGGCAGGAAAGGATACCGGGAAACTGGATGCAGACAGGACAGTGTGTGGAGAGGTTCTGGGGGAACAAGGAAAACAAAAAGAGAAACTGGGATGGAACTATGAAACCACCCATTATTAAAGACTGGTCAGAGGAAAAGGGGCAGGAGAAGCATTAAAGGACAAGGTAAGGGAGGCAACAGTGGAATCATCAACGCTTGTCATAGGGTTGTCAGAGGTGAATGTCAGGGGCATAAGACAGCCATTTTCCATTCTTATAGAATGGAAAAGCTCTGCACAATTTTTTAAGGGTCAATACCGTTTTATGAATAACTCAAGCCTGAATTGTAAGAAAGAACTAAGAAATATGGAAGTGTGGAGAGAACCTAGGAAGAGGTAATTTCCTTAATGCAGCTGTCTATTAAGCTACCTGCCACTGCAGAGTCACATTAAATAAAAGAAGGGGTTTAAAAGGAGAGTGTCAGGTAAGAACTATGTATCAGTACTATATAATTGAGTGTTTCTCTAATATGTCAAAGACTGCACACGTACCCTTGACGTGAGTATCTTTCTAGATGTTCTCCCTACTTCTATAGCCAGTCTGAAGAATATCTCCACAGTATTCTTCTGTGCTTAACCTTTTAAATGACTACCTTACCTTAATGCTGATGTTGAATTCAAGACTGGATTCCATTCCCTTCACCTGGCCATCTGATGTGTAGGAATATCACAGCATTGCAGTGGTCAGCCAGGGAAATGAACTCACAGCCTCAGAATGAATAATCTAAAGCAGTGCTCTCCAACAGAAATATCATGCAAGTTATATTTGCATTTAAAATTTTTAGTAGCCACATTAAAAAAAAAAATTAAGTGAAAATTAAATTTAATAAAATGTTTCACTTATTAATATATTCAAATATTATCATTTCAACATGCAATCAATATAAATATAAATATAAATATATATGTATGTGTGTGTGTGTGTGTATATATATATATATGTATGTATATATATATGTATGTATGTATATAGATGAGGTATTTTTGCATTCTTTTGTCCACACTAAGCCTTTTAAATCCAGGGTGCATATTACACTTATAGCAGGTATTCAGAGAGACTACATTTCAATACTTAACAGCCACATGTGGTTCGTGGCCACCACAATGGACAGCACAAGTCTGAAGGGATCTCTGCAAAGGGCAAGAGTTGAGGTTCAACTGAGAAATCAGTGATTTCAGGACCAGATGAAGGAAGGGAAGATAATTTCTCTGAATGCTGTTACCAATTATAAATAAATACTGTGTTATGACACTATAAAAAACAAACAAACAAACAAACAAAAACATCAGCAGGACTGAGACCACTGGCCAAGGCTGTAGGGTTGATCTTGAGAAAGCAAGAAGCCACTCCAGGAGCTTGCCAACATCAGCAACACCAGCAACAAAGCCCAATTTCCAAGCCACTTTCATGATCCTTTTCCTCTTTCTCCTTTTAATCTTCCAATAGTCCTTCGAGGAAGACAGCATCTATCCCATTTCCCAGATGAAAAAACTGAGCATCAAACAATTAAAATTACTTCCTCATTTCCAGTCTCAACTGCCAGAGTGGAACCCAAATCTCAGGCCTTGCCCTTCCTCCAGGCTTCTTTAACAAGCAGTAAATCAGAAAACAGCTGAAAATCCCATGACCAAAACAAGTGTATATGGAATCAAGCACCCATTAATGAATTTCTAAATAGCACCTCTCTTTCACACAGAGCTTAAAGTTTTCAAAACACTTCTGTTCATACACTGGATCACACTAAAGGATAACATGAGGCTGCCTTTGGAACTCTTTAAAGACATCTAACCACAGTGAAAAGGGGCTGACTTAGTCACCCAGCCTTTCAATCACCACATCCAACATCTTTCTGCTGTTCCATCCTGCCTCCCCTGATGACTGACATTTTTTGTTTTAAAATAAAAAATTCAATTTCAAGACTACTTTATATACTTTGTTGTTTTCTCAAACTAGTAGGCAACTTGTAAACAATCACAAAAATGATTCTGGTACAGTACTTTCCTCCATCTCCAACCAAGAGTGCTTTTAGGAAATGGCCTGATTACATTCTCAGCTCCACAAGATACTCACTGCAGCCAGTGGGACCCCCTTTACTTACTAATCAAATGTTCATGAATATATTGATCAAATGATAGATACAGAGGATAGAAAGGCATGAGGGTTTATTTAAAAAAAAAAAAAAAAAAAGGCACCCTTTTCCTGCTTCAGCACTGACTAAGGGGGAATTAAAACAATGGTTGTTCATAGTGCCTGGCTTTTCATCTGTTTACTTTAGACACTTCACAGGGTAGGCAAGCCTACCAATTTGGGATTTCTTGGATCCTCATGACTGGCTAGAGCACATGCCTCCTTGGGTCTTTAATTGGGCCAACCATTAAATAATACCTATTTATAACTAGTACACGACTTCCAATCAGGAGGGGAACCTTCCTAGCCAAGACACCTAAACATGGCTGAAAGCAATAAGGCAAAGGCCCTGAGTTGCATTTTAATACCAAAGAATTTGGCTCTCAAGGTATTGATTACATCAAGAGAAGTTAGGTTATACTGAAGAGAAAATAAGCATACTGCCATATAAATAAGGAGAAGCTTCAAGATACCACACCACCTTCTCCAGGAGCAGTAAGCACTCTTCAAGCTTCTTTCACATAAACAATTTCATAAGATTTTCACAACTCCTTGTTAAAGAGGTATATATGTAAGGAAACAGAGCCTGGGAGTTTAAAAATGCACCCAGCTAACTGTGGTCAATGACATGAGACAGAGTATATGTGAACTGCTGTATGGAAAGTGAATTTGCTCTGTAAATCTTCACCCAAATCACAATAAATAATAATAAAAAAAATAAAATAAACCAACTAACAAAAAAAAAAAAAAAAAAAAGCACCCAGCTACAACTACCTGGAAGCTCAGCCTGATCCAAGAACTAGGACACCTAGAGTCTGGTCCAGGCTCTCCCCGTTGGCAGGTGCCCAGCAGAAACCAAGATGCCCAAGCATCCAGACATTGTCATTAAAAGCTAAGGATGGGGCACAGAACATGAATTAGCTTTCTATTTTTCTTTACTTAAACATATTCCAAGTACACTCATGCTGAGGAAGTTAGGCAGTACCAAAATATATCCTTTCATGCAAAGGATGAAAAAGTTGCTACCTAACCAAGCCCGGGCTGCCAAGGCTGAGGGACTTCCAAGTACATTAGGCCACCTTTCTCATCAGGAATTCCAAGTGGAAGATCCATAAGTTTCTAGCCTAGAAGTGCAGTCAACTATTGTTAATATATGATTTTAATGGTTTGACAGCAGCCATGTGGCCTGCAGCTATGTGGCCTTCAGCCATGCCACCGTCTGGCATTCCATGAGTTTCCAGGTGCAAAAGAAAGCCAAAGCACACACTGGGAATGGCCTACCCACATAGGGGTGACAATGCAATACAACCATACCCCGCCAAGGGAAGCACATGCATGTGGAAGAGGAGGAGGGCAAACAAGAGGAGAGAAGAAAGAAGAGCAGAAGGAAAGCAGTGGTCAGCATGATTCTTACTTTTCTGGCAGCGATTAGTGGTCCAGCAGCGGTAGTTATACTCATTGTTAATGGTGGTCTTCTCACACAATGGTTTCTCCTCCAATGTCCCTGGACACAGGTCCCCACACTCCTTTGGGGGTTTGTTTCCCACAATGTAGTTATTGGACACAGCATCCAGGATTAAGGACCAATCCACAGTGGAGAGGTAACAGAGGTCAGCATTTTTTTCAATCCTGATGGCCCCCCGAGTAATGTTCCTCAGGTTGTAAAGCCCAATATCCTTGAGGTTGGTCATCTCAAAGATGACCAAGGCATAGTTATAGAAGAGCTTCCAGCCACGGATGACAGTGAGGTTTGGGAAGAGGTCACCGAGGCTCTCGAGGCCAGCCACACGGAACAGCAGCAAGTACTCAGTGATGACAGTGAGCTTGGGAAAGCGGTAGCTGCGGTAGTCCTCTGCCTTGGAGATGAGAAGGATGTGCAGGTAGCCCTCAATCACCGTGCAGTTCTCCAGGCGCTTCAGCTGCTGATAGTCATTGCGGATGTCGATGCCTGGCCCGCAGACTGAGGAGACAAGAGGGAAAGGTAGAACAAGTTTTAGTTTAAAATGAAATCATTATTAGTGATTTTCAAACCCATAACATGCCCTGTTTTCAAGAAACCTATACTATTATTAGCATAGTATAGGTGAGGCTGGCGCATGACTGAGCAGCACTTTGTTCTGCTGTACACAGGATCACTGTGAGTCAGAGTCAACTCAACGGCACCTAACAACAACAATATACCACCCATCTGTCAGTTTGTCATATTGTGGTGGCTTGTGTGTTACTGTGATGCTGGAAGTTATGCCATCAGTATTTCAAATACCAGCAAAAGTCACCTATGGACAGGGTTCATCAGAGCTTCCAGACTAAGAGAGAGCAGGAAGAAAGCCCTTCTGATCTGCTTCCTAAAATTAGCCAACAAAAACCCCGTTGTTGTTGTTGTTATGTGCCGTCGAGTCAGACCTGACTCATAGCGACCCCTTCTTGAGGCAGTATCACTACGGAAGTAGATTGCCCCATCTTCCTTCCGAGGAGTGACTGGTGGGTTTGAACCGCCAGCCTTCTGGTTAGCAGTCAAGTACCTTAGGCACTATGCTACCAGAGCTCCTAACAAAAACCCTATGGATCACAAAAGAATACTATCCAACATGGTGCTGAGAAATGAGCCCCCTAGGTTGAAGCTCTGGTGGCATAGTGCCCAAGGCATTTGACTGCTAACCCGAAGGTTGGCAGTTCAAACCCACCAGCTGCTCTATAGAAGGAAGATTAGACAATCTACTACCGTAAAGATTTGCCGCCTCAGACACCCAAAGGAGGTCGCTATGAGTGGGGAGTGACTCTATGGCAGTGAGTTTGGTTTTGGTTTAAGTTGGAAGGCACTCAAAATACACAGTGGCTGCAACAATGGACTTGTGCATACCAACAATCCTAGTTCAGGACTGGCAATGTTTTGTTCTGTTGTATGTAAAGTTACCATGAGTCAGAGCCAACCACAGCAACTAATCACAATAACAACAAACACTATTATTAAAGAAATAAGAAATAAGATGTCACTCTTCACTGAAGACTAACTCTAAGTGTGGGCTGCAGGTTGAATACCTGACTGGGCAGCTAACCAGTTAGTTGTCATTTGTGAAGGGCCTATACTGGGCCAGATATAGGGTAACATTCCCATTCACCATGGGAGATGATGTCCTCAGTCTACAAACATGGAGCCCTGGATCACACTGGCACACGTCAAAGAGTCAGTGTGGTGCCCAGGCCTGCCTGACACCACAGCCACAGGATGCACCACACACCACTTCTGCAGAGCACCAGACCCCAATGCGTGTACAAATCTCTGCAGTCAAGTAGCAAGGACCTACTGCTGCAAGCATCCTAAAAGACACCAAGCAATCACATCTACACTAGAGACCAGTCACTACGACAGGAAAGGTAGGGACACAAAGAAACATATCCCATGTTTTCTGCTACCATCTGGCATGGACCAGGTGGCCTTGGTTCTCCCTAATTTTGCATTAAAGGATAATTTAACAGTAAGATATAAAGGCAAATTTGACAGATTCTTTTAAATGTGATTTATATGAATAAATTCACTGTCACTGAGTTGATTCCAACTCCTAGTGACAGAGTAGAACTGCCTCATAGGATTTTCAAGGCTGTAAATCTTTACAGAAGCAGACTACCTCATCTCTTTCCTATGGAGTGGCTGGTGGGTTTGAACTTCCAGCCTTTTGGTTAGCAACTGAATGCTTTAACCGCTGTGCTACCCAAGCTCCTTCATATGAATAAAAGAGGTATACAAATGTAATTTTAATAAAGTGTTTTATTAAACAAGAAGGACGTGTTTCCTGTAGAAATGTTAGGCACTAGACATCAAAAAGACAGTAAAATCATCGGTAATCTCAAAGCAAAAACCAAACCAAACTCAATGCCGTGGAGTCAGATCCGACTCATAGTGAGTGAACCCTCTTTGGGTTTCCAAGGCAGTATCACTACTGAAGTAGATTGTCCAACCTTCGTTCCAAGGAGTGGCTGGTGGGTTTGAACCACAAGCCTTCTGGTTAGCAGTCACATGCCTTAAGCACTATGCCACCAGAGCTCCCTCAATAATCTCAACATAACGAAATCACTGTTAACACTACCTATCCTTTCTCTGTAAGTATTTGAGTGCTTTCATGAACCTTAGGGCATATATCATCCACCAACATTATCAAGTGCTCAGGTTTCTTGAGAAGCTGATATCCTAGTCATAGTATATGTTACCTCCTGGCAGAGATCTACATAAATACATGATTCTGAAGAAATGGACCTCATGCCACCAATCCTACCACCAGAGTCCACTTGGGACATATGTGTCCCATATAATGGTATCAAAATTCATATTACCTCAAAAAACTTTTTTTCCTTGATTTCAGAATGCCTTTCATTACTAAAAACACATGGTAATAACAAAAAAGTCAAAGCAGAACATAATTCAGTCACAAAAGGATTAAGAAAATGAAATCAAATAAAAACACATTTTCAAACACAGCTCTTTCCCTTAGTATAAACATTTTACTGAATCTATAAATGCCTCTTCTATCTCAAGAAGGGGATAATAATTTTAGGCTATGAATAGATATCCCAAGTTATTTTAGTTTTTTTAACCAAATCTCCTATTTTAAGACAATTCGGTTATCCAGTTTTTCCACATTGAAATATGCTTCAATGATCATTCTCAGCAGATATGAAAGATAATTTTCTTAGTATAATTCCCTAAAAATGGAACTACTTTGTCAATGCATTTGTCAATCTTTCATAAAATGGCCACAACACTGGTAGCACTTTGTTTTTAAAATTCCAGACACATAAAATCTTTTGTTACTAACCTTTCTAGACTCACTATTTAAAGCTTCTCAGACACAGTGAGGTTCTCTGATTGCTGTAGTTCATTAATTGGTTAAACACCCAACATGTATGACACTATGAGAGATGCAAAGCAGCAGTGCCCCATGCTCTAAGGAACCTGATTCCTGAAGGTCATCGGATAAGACCCATCATAAAAAGGTGTCAGGGGAGGCAGGAAGTGGTCAGTGAAGTGCATCCACTAAGGGTCCCACTAATGGACTAGCAAGTCTATTCTAGATATGTAACTGAATTAAGCAAGATAGACAAGAGCTTCACTCAAGGAGAAGGTCCTTTCTGTTACAGTGCCAAGGGAAGCACATGAGCTGGCTCTTAAAGGATAAACTCACTGCTGTAGAGTAAGATCTGACTCATAGCGACCCCTCCTTGGGTTTCTGAAGCAGTATCACTACGGAAGTAGATTTCCCAATCTTCCTTCCAAGGAGTGGCTGGTGGGTTTGAACCACCAGCCTTCTGGTTAGCAGTCAAATGCCTTAGGCACTATACTACCAGAGGAATTTAAAACTGGGTAGAACACTCCAGAGGCCAGAGACAAGGTGGAAAAAAACATACTAAGGAACAGCAAATCTAATGGTTTAGGGACATAGAAAAGAACCTGCTAGAGGCCAAATCATAGAGGATCACGCATGCCTAGCTCAGGAAAGAGGAGCTCTGGTAGCATAGTGCCTAAGTCGCTTGACTGCTAACCAGAAGGCTGGTGGATATTGCCTCGGAAACCCAAGGAGGGGTCGCTGTGAGTCAGGTCTGACTCAATGGCACATAACAACAACAGCAACAGCTTAGGAAAGAGGACTTTATTTCATAGAATGAGGCCCCACTGGAGGCTCTTGAGCAAGAGAGGAGCCCAAGCTGATCCTTCGGGAAGATTAATGTGGGGGCCAAGTGTAGGGCAGAATCACAGTGGAGTAAACAAGTGAATGAAGAAGACAGTTGGCTGGGGGTTACAGTTATGGACAGGAGTAGAGCAGGTGCTGTGGTGATAGTGCAAACGAATGGCTACAAGGTTGAAGAGCAGCCAAAACCTGAGCACCTAGAACATGAAAAGTCATTTGGTCCAATGCCTCATTTGCTGATAAGAAAGCTCCTGAGATAGCACATAGGAGACACCAGCACTCACAGGACACCCACATGCCAGACAGAAGCTGTGCCAGAAACATTTGATGCATCATTTTGTTTAACCTCACAAGATGCTCTCAACAATAAGCTAGGTAATATAATTGCCATTTTGAAGATGAAGACATAGATACAGAGAAGTCAAAAGGGTTTGCCAACAGTCCCAGCTCTATATTAAGGCCAAGGACTGGGTAGGTACGCCCAGGGCTAGGAGGCTGTTTTTCGCTAGGTATGGCTCTATTTTAAGGCTAGGGCCCATAGCAGGCAGGCCAGAGCTCGGGGGCTGCTTTTTGCTCATGGGAGGCTCGATTTTTTTTAATTCATTTTATTGAAATATAATTTATGTAAGGTATACACAAAACTAAAGTAACATGGGTCAATGCATTTTTTTTTCCAGTGTTCCCTTCCCTCCCCACCTACCCCTGGTAACCAGCAAAGAAAGTTTCCCTCCATATATAAACCTTTTCTTAATCCTCCACAACAACAAACTAATATACTATATTTGTCCTATGGTGATTGACTTATTTCACTCAGCATAATGTCCTCCATGTTCGCCCATACTATGCAGTGTTTTGCAGACTGTACATTATTCTTTAGTGCTGCATAGCATTCCATTATGCTTATGTACCATAGTTTGGTCATCTACTCTTCTGCTATAAATCTTGGAGATAAGTCCCTTGCCAGATATGTAACTATCAGCAAATATGAATTTGTTGCTGTCATTTTTGTCATGTGCTTTTTCATTGTGTCAATTTCTTTGTTCCATATAATTTTCTATGCTGAGCTCGTTTTGTTTATGAATCATGTTATCACTTCCTTCATTGCTATTGTTTTAGTATTTGCTGGTCCTCTTTTTTGATGTGAAGGTTTATCATTTTTCTTTGGGGTTACCCTGTGATTTATAGTTTTCTTCTCAAGTTTAGAACAGTCCATTCTACCTTGCAGTTGTCTTGACTTCCCTACCATCTAGAAGTTCTGTGACGACACAGTTTTTTCCCT